ATCACACCAAGACATGGAGGACAAAAAGAACGAGAAGAAGGCTAGGACACACCCAAATCCCTCCATCTTGTCCCTTTTGAACCCCATTCTAAGAACCCCAAAATTCTACTTTTTCACCCTGTGTTAAGTCAACTACCTCACTACTCAAACCCTTGTGGCTTGTAATTCCTCATACAAAGTTGGCAGTTTTTTCCACAGGCTAAAATCGAAGCCACAGATGTTTTTAACTTCATGCCAGGGTCTCTGAGTCCCCTGCCAGGGTCTGGAGACAGCCAGGGTAGCCAGAGGGATGTCCTGCACTCTGACATGTCCTGTTTGGAATGAAGGAGGTAGTGGTCAGTGCTGCCTATGTGGAGCATGAACTGGGATCACAAATGCTGTTTGTAGCTTCCCTCAGCTTGATTGGGACATGGATTTCAACTCTATCAGAGTACAGCCTGCCCCACAGCTTTTCAGGCACGATGGTTTAAATCTTTCTGCACCTGTCCTAACATGCTGCCCACATTGTATAGAATAATTAAATGCTCGTATGCATAAATACATATAAATGGTGACTTCAATGTCAATTGTGGTAATGGCAATTTAGGAATTTAAAAAACTTGGTAAAATTCTTATTTATTATCTGCCTCAAGTACTTGAACTGAAGCTGAAAGACAGGGATGAAATTTTAAAACACAGAAGCAGCTAGGGAAGTGATATTCTGTCTCTGGCACAAAGCTTACCTGAAGAAAGAAAAATTTCTACAGTTTGCAAACATCTTTTTTCAAAGACTTACAGTTCAATCTTAAGGCTTGTGTCTCCCAGACAACATCAGGAAGGATTAAAGTGCAGTGTCCTTTGATAGGTATTTTTTATTAAAATGCTTTCAAAAGAGCACCTCCAAGAAAAAAAAATAACAAATTAATATAATTTTTTTTCTCTGCTTTCTTTGAATAGTTTTTGGAAAACAAAAGTATTTTTTATCTCATTCTCATATCAGCCAAACTGATGGAAGCTGCAGGATGGGGTCTTATATTGCAGTTTACCTGTATTACACAGAACATTATGACCTTACCTAATTGTATTTATTTTTCAGATATGTGAATACTGCACAACATGGTACTGGGATATAAGTACAGCAATATTATTCTTCCCTATCTTTTGTTCTACATATATTTTTTCAGCTTTAAAATTATAACTTTGCATTTTTAGGGCTTTAGTCCTGCAAATTGTATAGAATCCTTATTTTACTACCTCTATTACCAGAATAAAAAATAATCCCACTGACATATTAATAAGAATAATAATAAAAAATACGATCATGTTAAAACAGATTATAATATTCCCATTGTCTTCAGCAAGTCAGTTTGTCAGCTTTTCTTAGTATAATATTGGAGAAGCCTCAGAGGACACCAAAAAGCAAGGGAAATCTGTACCATCTCTGATGGTCTCTGTTGTATATGTCCACATATCAAAGAAGAACACACAGCTCTACAATAATTATTGGAGAAAATTTGGCTAAAAATCAAATAAATTTAGAATGGGTGAATAATCAGAATTCAAATAAAATCTGTATTTCCCTCGAAAATGACCAGAGATGTCAAGACCCATCACATGAGAATGAAAAGCTAAAATCTTTTCACCACGTTCATTCTGGAGCCATCTGTTGCTGCGAGGGAATGTGGAATGTCAGTCCTGACTCACAGCTGAGAGGGTTTCTGCAGGACAGAGCCCTTGGACGGCTCCTGGAGCAGCCTGCAATTGGCTTTTTGGCCAAGGCTCCTGCACAGCTGCCACGGGTTCCCTCACTGGGGACTCCCCATAGCTGCCTGGTGCAGCACACATGCTTGGGGCCATATAAATCCTGTGGGACCCTCCTAAACCCAAGTAGGGTTACTTTCATCACCAGGATTTCAAACAGCAGCAGCTACTTTCATCACCTATCTCATGTGCTCTAATTTTCACTCTAGAGGTCAAAAAGAGCAAACACTTCATGGAGCTGGTAAAAGATCATGTCTAAGGGCAGCCCTGCCCCCATCATTTCTTGCTAACTCACAGGTAAGCTTTTTCAATCCTAAGTAGATTTATCTCAAATATTTCTGTGCAGCCCAATGCACACTCAAGTCAATCTGTGTTGAGCCTGCGCATTCAACAAAAATGAGTCATTCAGATATTCAAAGCTGAATACAGGCCTACACAGAGACTTGACCCACAGTAATTTTTGGCATATGTTTTTATTATAGAACAAAACATCTATGCAAATATTTAAAGATATAATTATTTTTCAAAAATTACAACAGAACATAATTGAAGTCAAAATGACACACAACAGTTCCCTCCTCCCTGAATGAAATTTTAACAAATAGATTTCTCAAGATATAAAAAAAAAAAAAAAAGTACTATTTTTTTTCAGACTCTTCATACAAATATCCCTGTCAGAGTAGATGGTGTAATAGTACAGGGAAGTATTATAAAAATATTATTGAACATATCTGTTTAACCTACCATATAGCCATGTCTATTGTAGCAGCTGTGGTTTTAAATGCTACTATTTACAGATTTCTCCCTAATAGCATTTATAATGATTGCACATCTGGCTTGGGCGTCTCACCAGTAGCTCACTTAATAACCATATTGCAGCTCACTGCAATATGGTACTGTGCATTTATTCATTTATTCCACGGGCACTAATATCCTGGTTGTTTGATTTTGTGCTAATCACTTTTTTTTTTTTTTTTTTTTTTTTTTGAAGAATTATAGATTGCTTACAGCCTTGCCTTGTATCTCATTGATATCAGTTAATCAAAAGGCAAATATCATTATAAAACCAACCACATTAGGCAGTGGACTTTAAGTAGCAGATCATAAGTCCTCATCTTCAGAATCCCCTCCTTTAGTTTTACAAGCATGTTGTCATTTTGCAGGTTAGAAATGCTTGCTATTCGTCTTTTAAAGGCTTTGAGTATCATTTACTAACCACTCTATTTATAGAGGTTGATGCCAAGTTTCCGTCTGATAGCTTGGAGCTGCGAATCACTCAAAAAAATCTTATCTTGTTCCAAAAATAACACAGATAATGTCTCTCATTTGCTGGTTAGTGTTTGCATATGGCATATATTGCCACATTTTGAGGAAATGGCTTGCAACACTAATGCGAAAATGTGCCTATTATGAACTTTTATAGGATTTTTCATTGAAAACTCAATAATGCATCCATTAAGAAATTATTCTTGCTGCAATTGTTAGTTTGAGATTTAAAAATAAGTTTTCCCACTTTTAAGATAGGCAAGTTTCTATTTTACTGGGTTAGTTTAGGGTAAGTCTTTTTATATTCATATGAGAAAAGCCTCTCTAGAAAAATTGTACCAGTGGGAGCATGTAAAAGCATTTTAAAGGGCTGTGGGCAGTTTGACAATGGGAACATTTTCAGCAGCCTCTGGTGGTTGAAGGACAACATAAATGGCTGAAGGAAAACTGATCTGTCAGATCAGGTCTTGTTTAACAACATTCACACTTTGACTAAGCACAGTTTGGAGCTTCTGCACCTTTAAATACTTAAAGGCAGAAGAGCACAGGACTAGATGCCTGAAGTTGCTCCCAGAGTCACAAAGCTGCATCCTTCACTGGGTTGGAACTGTGTGAAGTCATCTTTCTGATATCTCTGGTCACATGTGTGCCTTCTCTCTGCTGCAGTTCCTCACAAGCCACCCACAGCTATATAATGATTCCAACTCTTGCTTATTTGGAAAAAAAAGAAAAAAATAAAGGAAGAAAAATAGGAACAAACTATTTGTTTCCCTAAAACCAGCAAACCGAAATAGTTTCTTTTGTGTACAGTTTCTGCTTTCTTCAGATAATGTTGTGAATTACAATGACAGGCAGTTTCACACAACTTAGCTAGCAATAGAGCAATTTACAATCTGCTCTCTTTCACTCAGCACTTCTACTCTGAGCTAAGACAAATGGGGTTAGGTGCCAAAATAAAACAGCGACAGTTTCTTCTCAAGTGCATGTTTTCCCACTGTCACCTGCATGCAAGCCTCCTCTTTTCTCAAGCCCTTCACTGCAGACTGACAGCAGTAAAGCATTTCAGCACACGTTCCCGTGTCTGTGACCCCTGAAGTACGCTCTGTTTGCCAGCACTGCGCGGCTTCCCAGAGCTGATCTTTGCCCCTCTACTGGGCACTCCTGAGGACACATCTCGAGTGCTGGGCTCAGTTCCGGGCCCCTCCGTTCAGGAAGGACATTCAGGAGCTGGAGCAGTCCAGAGAAGGCCAGGGAGCCGTGAAGGGTCGGAGCACAAGTCCTGCAGGAGCGGCTGGTGGGGCTGGGGGTGCTCAGCCTGGAGCAAAGGAGGCTCGGCCGGGACCGCCCCGCTCCCTGCAGAGCCCCGAGAGGAGGCTGAGCCGGGGGTCGGGCTCTTCTCCAGGGGACAGGCAGTAGAATAAGAGGACATGGCCTCGAACTGTGCCAGGGCAGAGGTTTAGGTTGGCCCTCAGGAGGAACTTTTCGCTGGAGGAGTGATTAAGCACTGCAGTGGATTGCCGTGTCCAGGCAGGTGGTGGGGTCGCCATCCACACGATGCGGCACTCAGCGGCAGTCTGGTTTACATCGTGCTGTTCGACGCGGGGGATTCGATGACCCTACAGTTATTTTCCAGTCTAAATGCTTCCTTGACCCTGTATTTCTGTAATTTGAGGCGAATCTACTGGCCGCAGCAAGAACAAAACACACCCTCTTTCAAACCCGACCATCCTCTCTGTCCGAAGGGCAGAATCGTACAAAGCCTTCTTGGCCGCCCCGAGCTAGATGTGGTTTTCACGCCAGCTCCCTAATGTGCCCAGATGAATCGGAAGGTGCCCGGGCCCTGAGGCAGTCAGTCGGTGCCCGCGGCGATAGCGGTGCGCGGGCGAGCGCCGCCAGCGGGGCGCGCGGGGGCGGCCCCGAACCCGCGGCCGCAGCGCCCCCGGCGGTCACTGCGCAGCCGCGGCGCGGCGCCGCCTCCCGCCCCGCGCGCCCGGCGCTGCGGCGGCGTCAGCTGACCGCGGGTCACGTGACCCGGCGGCGGCTGAGCGGGCGGCGGCGCCGGGGATGGAGCAGTGACGGTAACGGCGGGCCCGGGCCGGCAGCGGGCAGCGCGGGCAGGGCCGGGCCGAACGAGGGATGGAAGCAAGGCAGGACGAGCGTCCGGGCTGCCCCGAGCGGCTGCCGCGGCGCCCCGGCCTCTCCCGGCGCACGGCCTCGCCCGGCGCCGGGCTGCGCAGGGCCTGGCGCGAAGGGCAGCGCCGGCCGGGCCCGGCGGTACCGCGGCTCCGGGGGCTGCGCCGGGCCTCGGGGCCGCCGGACCCCGCTCCGCCGCTGCGGGGGGCTCCCCTCGGGGAGGGCGAAGGGCAGCGCGGCCCGGGGAGCCCGAGCCGGCGGCTGCCGGGCTGCGGGAGCTGACGCCATCCGATCTGTGAGCCGGGCCGGCGGCTCCGAGGGCAGCGGGGGCAGCGCCCCCGCTCCCGCCGCCAGCCCCAGGCCGCCTCCGCACAAGCGTGGGGACTCCCCACGGCGCAATCTCCCCGGCTGCCTCGCTGTGGCCGCTTCTGCCTAGGGAACGTGGCGGCCAAGCAGCAGAAGTGGTTTCTGGAAGCGAGCTTGAAGAAGTGACACTCTAGGGACTTAGTGCTGAGCCGCATCAGTAAATTGAGATTTCCTATTGAGCTAAATAGAAGCAATTGCCCCTTGCCCTGTTTTTTGGGGTTTTTTTGGGTTTTTCTGTTTTGTTTTTTTTTAAAGCAGTGCTGTAGTTGAGGTTCTGTTTCAACGTTGCTGTTTCTTTTTCTGGGGTACAACACTAAAAACACTTGTTCATAAGTTTTATTTTACATTGTAGTATACTGCATGAAAGATTTTTCTTTGGAAATCCCTTTCCCTAGTAACATAGGGATGAACCAATGTACTTTACAAAAATGTCCTGGTCATAGAGGTACGTTGGGTGAATAAGCTACCCATTCTTACTGCTTATTGCGAGTTTTATTTTGAACACTTGCTATTTCCTGCTTTATCCTGTGGTACTTTTCTTTCATTTGCTTGGCTTTCATTTTGCAATCGGTCTGTATGTATTTTTTGTCTGACCAGCATTTGTATCTGTTTTTCTGTAGCACTTCTCCTTTCTTCACTTCTTGTTTGGTATTCTCCATTGTTCTGGTTTCAAGGCCCCTCATGTAAAAAACACTTAAAACTCTTCTACTAAGCTTTTTGTTCCCTTGTGTGTATTTCATAATACGTCCATTTTACCTGAAATGGGAAATCATCTTCCTTCCCATGACTATTAGAAATGGAACAGAGCTTCAGAGAAACCAACCATACAGACAAAAAAATGGTGTGGGAGGAAGGGAAGTCCAGTGACTTAATGATTCCTGGGAGCTACAACTGTTTCTTCTTTGCCATTTCTGGAAACTTTATAAATATTCTTTAGAGGGTATTGATGTTTGTGGAAAAGATGAGAATGCAATGTTCCCTATGTCTTTCTGAGTAGGATTCTGGATTTCTGTGTTAATGCTTTTCTATCTTTTACTTGGATATTTACAAGTTGCTGCTGTGGCCCCTTAGTTTGTTTATCCACATTTATTCCACAACTATTTCTAGTCCCAGTCTAGTCAAATCCAGACAAAAACAATTTAAAGCTTCAACACTTTGAGAGTGTGTGTCAGCTGTAGTGGTGTCTCCCTGCATAGGTGAAGTTTACTGTAACCTTGGCTGTGCCTTTTATAGGGCCAGAGTTCAGTGGAGTGTAGGAAAACCTCTCTTGTGCAAGTCTGGCACGCATTAAGGAAGATAATGCATCATAGTAGTCTGAATAAGAGGAAAAGTAGTTTTGTTCCAAATCATCTGTAATCATCCCTGTGGAGACCTGTTACATGAGATACTGCAGTTGGTGCTAAAAAAAGAAGCCCTGTAGCATGGTGATAACTGATGTTGTGTGTCTGGTCTTGTAAATATCCTGATTTCTCAGCTACCTGTACCTGCCTGGGCACTGTCTGCCTTTGGGTTTGTGGCACTGCTGTGCTGTGCCTGGTGGTGCAGTGCCAGGTGTCACTGTGTGCTGTCAAGGGCCTCAGGAGCTGGGGCCATCATCTGCTGCTGGAAACGAGGCCCCTTAAGTGCAGGGGGATGGATGGCTGCTATGCCAGGCTGTGCTTCATGATAGTGATTTAATTAATGGCTGGTAAACTTCAACTTTGGGCTTCCTGAGTAGCTGAGCAAAAGAAGCAGCAGGCAGGTCTATATCTTACCTGGAATTTCAGCACCCTTGATAACTTGCTACCCCTAGAATGAATACACAGATGAAGGACCTGTGTGTGTTGTTTTGAGCAAAGTTTGCTACCAAATGCTAGTTCTAATAAATACAACGTGTGATTTGTTCTCCCTCAAAAAATTGAGTGCTGTAGTCTGTGCTCATGAAATGTAGGTTAGTCTCTACTCATTCAAAGCTGCTACAGAAGACATTGCAGATATCAAAATTGACATTTAGATTCTGTCAAGGTACACTTTGATTCTGTTATTCATTCCCTTATTAAAAGCATCCAATAACTGTCAATGAGCTGTTTCTGCTTCTTAGTGACAAAAGAACATGTATACTCTTAACTTCCTGAGCTTGTCTGCAAAGCAAACCAACATAATTTGTATTTAGTGCCAACACTTTCTTGACTAATGCCAGTATGTGTAATCTTATTGATGGTCTGCAGTGATAACAGAGATATCAAGACTAGAAAGTATTCTCCTTTTTGTTGAAATTTTTAGCTGCCAGGAGAAGCTTCTTTACTTGAAAGAATAAACTAGATTTCACTGCATTTAAATTAATTTAGGCATTTACTTACTTTAAAACACTGTCCTAATCTGAAAAGAGATGTCAGAGTTGAAATTTGTTTGGTTGTTCTTATTTTTTATGATGTTTTCAGAAAAAGTTGTCTGTTGTACAGATGCTGGAAAATGTGTATAGCTGTGAAAATACATTGTGGGTCCTGTTTGATTTGATTTCTTTTCAGTTAAGATTGTTTGCTTGTCATCTTTCTATGAAATTGCAGTTGAAAGGTGCTAATGTTGCAAACTCAGCCCTTTTTAACATACAGGATAGGCAGTGTAAAAATATTTTCCAACTGTGTAAATGTGATTTAGAAGATAGGAAAAATAAATTTGAAACTGCATGATACTACTGGTAAAATCTCCTAGAGTGACTGGAACTGCACTTTAGTAATATGGAATGAGATGTTTTTCTTCAGACAAAGCTGACTGCTGTATTAATGGAAGGTTTTTTTCCCTTCTTTCCCTGGCTTCCCTTCTGCTAGCATCTTGCCTTTACCCTCGGAATCAACAACTATCAAGATAAAGGCACAAAAATGACAGAGTTTTGGCTGATTTCTGCTCCTGGGGAAAAGACCTGTCAACAGACATGGGAGAAGCTACATGCAGCAACTACAAAACATAACAATCTTTCCACTAATTCAAAGTTCAATATTCCAGACTTGAAGGTAAGTAAAGCCCATATCGTGTCCTAAGAAGTGTGTTTGTTTTGCACCATCTTTGTTTCTCTAGACTAAAGCCTGCAGATGTTTTAGAGAGAACAGCTGACTTCTCTTGATGTGTATGTGTGGATCTAAGAAATAATTCAGACAAGGGTTATCTTTTTTTCTGAACTTCTAAGTTAGTTGTTCACTCTGTAAGTTTTCAAGAGTTATCAACCTGTGTTCTTTCAGCAAATAAAGCAGTTTTTCTGAGGATGATAGTCTTGATCTCATGGTAGTAGCAGTTACTTGGAGAAGAAAAATAGGAACTTGTGATCTGATTATTGAGAGTTTCCTCTGACTGTTTTGTTTTGCCTGTTTTAAAAAGTATTTTAATTTTTTCCCCTTCTGAATTGTCTGCTCCTTTTCTTTGTGTGAGATACAGTGATAAGGTTCAAATTAAAATACAGGAGTTGATTAAAGAGCTGCTCCACCTTTTGTCCATCCAGAAGTAGCATTCTTCTATTAGAGCAATAGTTTATCTCTGACTGAGCATTCCAGTGTGACCTGCCAGTGTGTTGTGGAAAATGGAAAAAAACCTGTTTGAACTATTCAGTGAGAAGCAAACAGTAGCAAAATTTGAAAGTAGTCTTGGTTTAATACAATCATCAGGATATGGAAAAGTTATGAGCCAGTGTATTAATTTAGAAAAGGTCTTTCCTGAAGCCTGAATGTTTCTTGAACAAGAATTTGCTCAATTCTCAGTTTAATGTAGTGAAAGCCATCAGAGCTTACAAAATTGAAGAGAAAAATGTCATCAGTCTTTGTCTACAGAGTGGATCAAGTTCAGGTAGCATAATGCCTTTTCCCTGTCTCTGCTAAGGAATGAGCCCAAGGCACAGAGTGCTTCAGTGTGCCTTTTAAGATTTTCAAACTGCCATAACTTGTATTCACATTTGGACTGTCCTGAGTTAGAATAGGGACTAGAACAAATGTGTGTCTCCTCTCAGGATATCCTTGGATGTGAGTCAGGATGGCTTTCAAACTGTAGGGTGCCTGCAGCATTTAGAGGAGTTATTGCTGAAAACTGCTGGGGTCTATCAGGGTTAGAAACAATTTGTTTTGCTTCTACTCAGCTTCCTGAAAGGAGCAGAAGCTGAATTTACCTTATACACAGTGGGAAATAGTCTGGATTCTGCAGACCTGGTGAAACTGTTTAAGCAGTGAGATCCTTTAGTTAAAACTCACTTAAACAGTGGTTTAGTCTCCACTGAACAGCAGTATTATTGCTTAAGGACTTGCTTGTCCTGAGGCTTATATATGAGTAGTAAAAATGACCTTCCTTATTCTGCTTGTGGCCCACAAGAAGGTGGGGCATGGAAAGTCATTTGGTGTGATGTTTCTTAAGTAATTCTGTGCCTTTCTGCTTCAAAGCTAAACAGAAAAGGACTAATGTGAATTTGAGTAGTCAGATATATGGAAAATAGGTGCTAGGCTACAAATACGCTAAGTGTTAATAGCATCTTGGCTAGACAGAAGATTCAATTATATTAATAAATGAAATATTTATTCATATAAATATGAATATGAATCTCACTGTAATATTTCAGTGAGAATGTGTACTCTAGATACATGAGATTAGGGAAGAAAATGTTTTCTAGAGAAGGGAAGAGCAAAAGCTTGTAGACAAGCTAGATATGTTATTACCCAAGATGCAAAAAAGTCTAGACTATTGTTGATCTTACTGCTGTAGTACTCTTGTACTGTCAAAGTTTTCAATATGCAGGTTGCCTCCAGTGCTGAGATTCCTGATGAGTGAAATTTCAGATTTGATCTAAAGTAGTGAATTAAACACTGAAGCTACTGCCTTGTGGAAAATGCAGCCAATTCACAGTGTAGACATTGTTTTAACATGCTGTGAATAGCTGGATTGCAGAACTGAAGCTGAACACCAAGCTTGTGAGTTAGATCTGATCCTGTGTTACTTCAAGGGGGACATGGCATCTAACAAGTGAAACAGAGTGTGGCTTTGGTAAATCAAGATGTCTAAAATCTTAAGAGTCCAGTATTTTATGTAGTTCTGCAGAGATATTTGTTGAGAGATGTAGTTTTTACTGTTAGCTGGTTTTATCTTTCTCTTTTTATATAAATCTGCTAATGCATTTTGATCTTTGCATCTAGGTTGGTACACTGGATGTTTTGGTTGGTTTGTCAGATGAACTGGCTAAACTGGATGCGTTTGTGGAGAGGTAACAGTTCATTTTTACTAGGATGCAAAATATTGGAATAATGATGTGATGGTTTGCTGAGTCCCAATAATACACAGGTTATTTTCAGCATTTTTTTGTATCACAGTGACCTTCTGCAGGCAGTCAGCAAGCTCAGATTTAAGAAAGCTAAGATGCTGGTTTTCACAGTATCTTTTCCTGAAAAAAGAAAAATAATCTGAACTTCTTATGGAATAGTGGAACATTATGCATTGATGAATGATGGTCCTCCCTACAGTAGTGCTGTGTGCTGCTGGGCCCTGGAGAATTGTTAAGAATTGACCCAGACAGATAGAGGAAGTGGTGATGAAATTAAGTAAAAGCTTGTTCTTTCAGTAGCAATACTGTTTACACACTTTGAGAATGTAACCATCTAGTTTCCTAATCTATAGAAATACTTAGCAGTATTAATATTAAAAGCAAAACCTATACATTTTGAAGAAACTAACAACTTTTTAAAAGTTATTTTGAGCAAAAGTAGCAAAATTTTAGACCAGAACTCATGGAGCCATCTTCTGTTTCAAGGAGAGAAATCTTAAGCAGACATTTTTAAATAGAAAAGGAAACTATTTGGCTTGGCACACGGGAATAATATATATGTCTTTTCACTTATGGAGGCAGGTCTTGAGAGTCAGATTGCATTGTCAGGGTTACCTAGTGTTTAGTTTATATTACTGTTGACTTCTACCTCTCTACCTGTTTCTAGAAAGGGGTTAGAATTTTGGAAGTACAACAGACTTAAAAATTTTGCAATATAGTGACATTACTCTTGAAGTCAACACCAATGGGAGGGAGCTAACTTTACCTTGTTGAGAACTGGTAGCAGCAGTAGAGATTTTAAATAAAGTTGTAGAATACTGAGAAGTTGGTCTCCTTCAGATATTGAGCCTAGCTTGTGCTCTCAGAAAGTATGGATATGGGGCAGTCATCATCTTTGTTTGATCCAGTCACTTTTGATCCAATCTCAGGCAATTTAAAATCAGTTTTATGAATGGTATTTCTCAAATGGCAAGTTTGGGGTTTTGATTGTTGGGGTTTTTTTTTTTTTTTAATTTTATCTTTATGTTCCAATTTTCAGTGTTGTAAAGAAGGTGGCCCAATATATGGCTGATGTGCTAGAAGACAGTAAAGATAAAGTTCAGGAGAATCTTCTGGCCAATGGAGGTAACATGTTAACCATGATATCCTAATGTATTCTAAAACTGTAGAAGGGAAGGCAATGATCCTGAAACTTACTGAGGTACAAGGAAGCCAAGTGCAAGGGGCTGCACCTGGGTCAGGGCAACCCTCAGTGTCAATAGAGGTGGCACATGAACAGATCAAGAGCAGCCCTGCTGAGAAGGACTTGGGGTGCCAGTGTGCATCTTCTTTCTGTAAAGAACTGCACTTTTCTCTGAACAAATATTTCATTTTCAGAGGCGTTTAATAGAAGTATCACAACTTGAATTGATGCAAGAGAGGCCAGTGTGAGTGGATAAGGCTTGGAGTAGTGTCTTTTGTAGATAGCTGTACAAACCTGTCACTTGGGGAGCCACATGGTCATTACTGCCTTTTTTGCCATCATAACCTTCCCTTCTCCCACCCCTTTATCACACAGAAGAAAAAGTAGTTGCTCTTGTCTGTAGTTCTCCACTTGACATTGACTTGGTAGTAAATGTCATTTACGGTCTACAGAGGTGATGAAAGCAATATTCAAATGCAGAGTTCATGGATAATTTACAACTTGTTTATTTGCAAATTTCTTAAGCAACAGGGTCCACACATGGGAAGATCCAGTCTGTTACAGTTCTTTTCTGTTAGAGCAGTTCTACATAGAATATAGTGCAGTAGTTTTTTTATTGTCTATCTTAACAAAGTTCTTTAAAATTCTAGTTGACTTGGTCACCTATATAACAAGGTTCCAATGGGATATGGCCAAATACCCTATCAAGCAATCCTTGAAGAATATTTCAGAAATTATTGCAAAGGTAAGGTAACTTGTTTTATAAAACTTCCCTATTTGAACTTGAGATATTTATGCATAGAACTTGCTCTCAAAGCAATTTGTCTGTTTTAGTCAGCTAACAATACTGTTAGTAACCAAATAAATACATTACGATGTGGCTAGAATTTGGAGAGTGCTCCCTGAAGGCTGTCATGATGTCTTTGCTGATTTTTGTTTCCTAGGATCACTGAGCTAACAAATAGCTAGGAAATTATGTATACATTTCAGTTTTGTTGTACTAGCATATTGTTTGTCTGATGTTCTCAAACTTTGTGGGCTGTTAGCAGTGAACCAGGAAACTTACTTACATTCTGAAAGCTGTGGCACTCAGTTGTGAGGAGAGAAATAAGCCTTCATTGTTAGATGTAAAGCTCATTTGAGAGTTGTCATGCATTTTTCTCATCTTTACTTTGGCAAAGTGAAATACATGGAGGGTTTAATTTACATTTTACTTGCTTGTGAGCCTATACAGGGTCCTCAGCAGTGACTGGCTGATTTAGACAGTAAGAGAGTTCTCTGTAGACAACCCTTGCTTTAAGATCTTCCCAGCCTCTTCAGGCTGTTTTTTCCCCTCCCTGTTCTCTGTAATCTGCAGACTGGCTCTTGGAACTGCCTGTGTTACTAACTGGAAAACATAACTTTGCAAAAAGAACAGGCTGTTCTGTGTACCTATAGAGACAGTCTTTGGTGGTGGATGTGTAGGGACTACAATGGGGTTGGGATGGGGGTAAATGCTAACAGACTTGTGCTTTGCTGTAGCTGCAGATTCCTGAAACTATTACATTAATTTTTTTGCAGAGATTACATAATCTTAATATGTGCTACAAAGCTGACTGGGAATGCAATTAGTGCTTTCATTTTTGATATTTTCTTTAGGACTATCGCTTCATCTTGAATTTATTTCACAAATTACATTTAGTAAGTATTATTGGTAAACACCTGCAGTGTGGCCTTTTGTTAAAGGATGACTGGCTGTCTTATGGCTCTGAAAATTTGCACATTAAAAATATTTCACAGATATAAAATAATAATCTTAATATCTGACACTAGCACATAGTATTTGCTTTTTCAGAAGAAGATACCAAAATGAAGCACTGAACTTTTTACAGCTGTTATAGTACAGCACTTGTTTTTGCAGAAGATAAATTTGTTGAAAAAGAAACATAGGACATGAAGAGATACGCCCTTTATGGAAAATTTTGAAATATTCAGTGCATGTTATTCTGTGTCCCAGAGACTGCTAGATAAATAATTTGCTTCAACAAAGTTCTAGAACCTGAACTTTAACTGTCGTACATTCTTTATCTACTTTATCTGAGACATCCTGTTGGGGGTTTTCATTTTGCTTCATGTTTAGCTGTGCTTGTATTCTATAGGCATAGCTTTAGGACACCTGTGTCATAAATCTGATTTCAAATAGATTATAAAATATTTTCAACCGTGAGCCATAGATGTGTGTCCATAAAGTAGAGAAGGAAGATGACTGAGGATGCCTTATGTTCCTATAGAAATGACCCCAAGGAGATCATATCACAGGACTTGAAACAGTTTTGTCCAAAGGCAGAAAGAGGCCTGACAAAGATGAAATCTTCATGTAATCACATGCCAAAGTGAAGATAGAGGAAAATTGATAGAGCAAATTAATTAAAATCTGCGAAGCCTCTTGACAGGTTGATGTTAAATAATTTGAAAAGTTTGTCAAATAATGAATTACTACTTTTCCTGTATAGTTTTATATTATCCTCACTCAGGCAGGAGGTTCTGATGACTGTCAAAATGAGTAATGGCAATCGCACTGGGGTGATTGTCAGTTGAGAGGAAATTACAGCAGTATCAGAAACATTTAAAATAAAATATCTGCTGAAACTATCTATCAGGTTTTGTCAGCTTTTAACTTCCAGAAGTTTTGTGAGCCCCAGTGTCAATACAGAACACTTTAGAGATGGCATCTGTGCTATGTGAGAGCTTGAGAGCTGTCACTTAATTGAGTCACTCTTTGAATTTGAAATTAGTGATCAAACTTATTCAAGGAGACAACTTCAATATTTTTAGTACCCTAGTCCAACCTTCTCAGCAGCATTGAAGTGCAACAGCTCAGTTGTTGAAGTACAACAGCTCAGTTGTTGAAGTGCAACGGCTCAGTTGTTGAAGTGCAACGGCTCAGTTGTTGAAGTGCAACAGCTCAGTTGTTGAAGTGCAACAGCTCAGTTGTGTGGCTGCAAGACACTCTTGTATTGCCAATGACTACCTAAGTGGTTTAAATATCTGGGATTCTTCTGTGTAGAAATAGGCTCACTATGTTAGACTGGCACTTTCCTTAGCAATACTATGAATCTGCCTCCTTTTGCAATGACCTTTTTGAGTTATTCACCAATTCTATTTGCAAAAGGAAGCTTGTATTATTGCTTAATTTGATGATTTTACAAAAATTTATTTTCAAGAGCTCTTTTGTGGCATTGAGGTTTGTGGTTCTATATTCTCTAACATTCAGTAGGAAGCAAAGCTGGTTGTCTTTACAATAAACTTCAGCGCAGCAGTAACAGGTTTTTGTCTAAGCAGTCATCTTTTAAAACACTACTGACTCTACAAATGAGAGCAATTAGAGTATTGTTAAGTAGAAAATGCTGAATGGAACTTGTTTGTCAAGGCAGTATTTGATATTGAAGGTTTTTGGGTTTTGTCATTAATGCATAGTTATACTGTTGTTGAAAGTTTTGATCCTTGGAAAAGGTTGTCAGTCTGGGGAAGGGCTGAAATGCACAAAGATACTAGTTTAATATCTTCTGATTCATTTTCCCCGTATGCTGTCCTCTAGATGTAGAAAAAAAAACGGTTCTGGTGTTACTTCTTGTAGTATTAAAAAGTTTTCATAAAGATACATGCCTTGTGTGACACCTGCTGAAATGTTCTGCATGTTGCTTTGCTAAAGGTTGTATCAGTCAAAGGATTTAAATAGCCTTAAGTACTCATCTGGTTAATTTTGTCATTTTCAGAGCACTTTGTCTAAAGGATTTCTCTAATCTGTAAAGGTGCAAGCTGTTAATGTGTTGCTACATGAAACTTACAGATTATTCAGGCTTTTGATGACTTCCTGCTACAGACAAGCCAATTTAGGTGTTATCATGAACAAGGTCACAATTTAATTAAGTGATCTTGCTTTTAAGAGAGATTTATTTTATGGAAACAAAATCATATCTGGATCTCCAAGCTGAAGTATTTTATGCAAACAAAATGTTTTGTCAGTGGTCTAAGTCTATATGAAGGGAGAGTCCCTTGACGGTGTTCAGAAACTTTTCCCTGGGAATTTTTTCATGCTTGTACCTCCTTACTGCAGTGAAGGAGGCAGTAGGCAGCATTATAATCCCAGACCAACAGTGCCATGTTCTTGCACTTGCCCAGCTGTTACTGAGTGGGCTGATTTAAAACACTTCCTTGGATAGGGTACACACCAATATGAGTATGGTTGGCAGTTTAACATGTACTAAAGTGCTTCATTTGTTTTGTATTCTTCCACTTGCTGCCAAGTTGTCTAGCTGGGATGAATCATTTTTGGTAATCATGCTAATTAAGCCATCCTTCTCAAATCCATCCTCCAGGATTACTTGAGCGTCAGTGGCAAGCTGAACATAAGTTCTATTCTAGTTCTTTAGACACAGTTCCTTTTCTTTTTGTTTTTAAGGGAGTAAACCAGATTGACAATGATCTAAAAGCAAGAGCCTCGGCATACAATAATCTGAAAGGGAATCTTCAGAATTTGGAAAGAAAGAATGCGTAAGTTGTATTATTTTTTGCTAATGTAGTGCAGGAACGTTTTTTAATAATGAAAACTTAAGAAAATGTGGAGTGATACAGGCTCTAAGCTTAATGTATTTTTGAAGTGTTTTATCAGTCTTGAAGAGCAACTGTTATAAAAGAGCATTTATTACCAGCTGTCTGGTTGGTGTTAACTTACCTGTGTCTGAAAAGCAATTAAGACATCACAAAAGCATGTACAAATAGCATAAAATTCTGGAACTTCTGAGAGGAGCTTGCTGTTAGTGGTAATGCTGCTACTTATGTATCTTGTCTAAATAAGAAAGTCTTTCTTTCATCTTACCTGGTTTCTTCCCTCAGAATTTACCAGCAGAGACAGCTGTTGTGTACACACAGATAATAAATTAAACAAGGACTGTGTGTTGTCTTGTCACGTACATGTGATGATTCTATGAAGTATGGTTGCAGTACAGTAGTTCTTCTGTGCAAATGTGGTTGATGAATGTGCCTGCACCCTGCCATTACAGTGAATGGCACAAGCCTGCAGGCTAATTCAGAGCCATGGGTCATGCCAATGACAGTACGTGACAAGCTGTTCAAGGAGTGAGACATAAGTTCTGGTCTGAGCTGTGGCAGTTTGTCAGCTGAACGCCATTAAACCTCTGTGCGTTCTTGGTCTTTTATGAATACGAGGAAATACACTGCTTTAAGTTTTTACTGATGTTCTGCAGGTAGATCTGGACTACATTAGTTAGAACTCTGAGGCTCTGTGTGCTACAATCCACAGTTAATGGTTTTAATGGTTCTTGCAATTTTAAATAACTTTTTAAAAGACAAGTTGGCCACTTAAGCGTGTGACGTATTTGGAATATGGAAATGACGCACAGCAGTGGAGCTACTGATAAAAATGTTGGTGGCTTTGGACAGTGAGATATAAAATGAATACAAGGGCATTTTGTTTGCTCTGCTAATAGCAATTGTGTAGGTAAAATGTATTTTTGAGACTGCTATATTATCAAGCACTGGAAAGTGTTACCCAGACGAATTCAATTCTTAAACACATAATTGTTCTGGCTGTCTTTGTTTCTCTGCAGGGGAAGCTTGCTAACCAGAAGTCTTGCTGATATTGTAAAGAAAGAGGACTTTGTACTTGATTCAGAATATTTGGTCACATTATTAGTGATTGTGCCGAAGTAAGTTTATTCATTGTAAGAGCAGAATACAATAAGAAATATAAATCAAATAATAGATCTCACAACTCTATAATACTGTAAGAATGACATCTGAATTTACTTGGGGCTTTCCTGGATGAGCAAACAGAACTGTTAATGCTCAGGAAAGATAAGTGAGTGTCTGTGCCTGTGTTCCTTTGTTCACAAAAACTTCTTATAAGGACTGCTCATGAATTTCTTAAACTGAAAATTAGATTTATGTCTCTTATCCAGTGTTTGCTATGACTAGTCATGTTCCAGATGGTGTCCTTAGGAAAATAAATGCTGAGTAAAAACATGACTTATTTTACATTAAAAAGCTTAATCATTAGATTATCCTGGTTACAACTATGCCAACTTTCACCACTAAGTGAGTGAACTCTACTGCTTTGCACTGCACGTCTTTAGATTGCCTGAACACTGACCTTTTTTTTTTTTTTTTTTCCTAACTAAGTCTGTGCCGTTGGAACCCTGCTTATGTCCTGTCAAAGGCTTGCTGGGGGAACAGGCTGTTCTTATTTGAAATGTTTGAATAACAGAAACCTTATGTTTTCCCCTGGCCAAAGAAAGTGGTGATACAGATGCCCTCAAAACTGGAAAAATGGCCCTTGACTAGAGCTACAAGCAAAGAGAGCTTCTAATTTATTAAAAGCCCACTGGCTCTCTTTACCACAGGAGCCATTAGACTCTGTCACATGTCAAATTCTGGTGAAGGAAAAACAGTTTTGTGGTGGCTTTAGCAGAAAGCAGGTGGTTAGAATATCTCAGTTGTTATTTTTCTTTATCTTGTTTTTGCTGTTGAATGGATGGAACCTCTTCACAACTAACTACAAAAAGGCAGGCTTCCAAAATTCAGTCCTTCAGGCAAGTGTAGGACTCTAGGGGACCTGTTTATAATTGTGGAAGAAGTATTCCTCTTCTCAAAAGAGCAGAGTTGCATCAGGAGTTTCTGATTAACCTTGACAGTAAATTCCATTTGGTGTCCTGAGAGCTGTACTTAATGATGATTTAATTTCATAGTTCTTTGATTTAAAAAATGTTGCACTTATAAACTGACATGAAAACTGAAAAGATGTTACTTTTGCAGTCACAGTAGTTTATTTATCAGTAATTATAAAAACAGCATGAGAACTGGGTGTTTCTTGAGTCTTGCGTATTTCTGACAACCTACACCTGAGATGGAAAATGTGATGATTGTTTTCCCCTTTGAAAAAAAACCTGATCCATTAATCTCTGATTTAAAGTCTAACAATAACCTGTGTATTCTCTAGGCTAAATTACAATGACTGGGTTAAGCAGTATGAAACACTAGCAGAGATGGTTGTACCACGTTCCAGCAAGTAAGTTGTTAAATGCTAAGTATTATATTTGCATGTGCTGTGTTTCAGGAGTGTTCTTTATCTAGAAAGACTTTGAATTTTAAAAAATGGTGAAAAACTTGTCTAGCTTTATCTGATCAAATCTGATCCAATAATTGAGGAAATATTAAAATGAACTCTAGGGTTAACGAAGTTATCAAACTTAACTTATGTGAGAAGAGTAAGAGGATTGAAAAATTAATCTAGTTTTGGTCAGATATATTCATCCTCTAGCTGGAGTATTGTGGAGATAAGCAAAAATGATGGCTGCTGGCCTGTAAGCTTTAGGGCTGTATTCATAGGACTTGAAACAAGTTGTATGAACTCCTAAAAAAATTCCAAAGGAATGGACAACTGGAAGTGGAAATGCTTCTGTTGTGTACAAAGAAAGGTAGATTGTCTCTTTGGGTCCCTGGTATCAAGCTGGTGCTAGGTGCGGTGGTGGGCGAGATTAAACCACTTTAACAACCTTGCAACCACACTGAAGATAAAGTCCATGTGTAGCACAAAGCATCAATTTTTGGTTAATTTTAACTGACAGACTGAGGATTTGATCAGGCAAATCTGATATTACTGGTTCTGTACCAGTTAAAAAATCTGAACTTGCTCTGGATAGCTTCACATTTAGAAGACCTGCTAGTAGTTCTTATTTAATTATTGGGAAGCCATGGCCTAGGGCTAGTTTAAGAAAAGGCAATTAATTTGTTAAACTGTTGGATAATGCTTGTGTTGAAGATAGTATGACATTGAGGAGCAGTCTAAATCCATTCAAGCTTTTGCTTTTCCTAAGGTAAAGCCTCAAAATAAGCAATATTATTTTTAATTATAAAATAGTAAATCTAGGGATCATCTTTGCAGCCTAAGAAATATTTTGTTTTGCCAACCTGTATCTTTTTCATTTGTGTACTTTTTTATATCCATTTCATTCTTCTTTATAACACAAATTTCTAATAAATCTGTAGTCCAGATGTTTCAGTACTAAACCAGCTTCAGTTGCTTTTTTCGTTAATTAAGTTTTAATTTGAACAAATATCGTATGAAGTGGTTTTGCGTGATGAAGTCTCTGAATGTGAACTATAAGCTGCTATCATTTATGAAGGGAGTAATTAAGAGCAGTCAGTTACGTTCTGTATGAAGTGCTTAATTTGGGAACTAAATCTTGTATAATTTTCTACATTTATGTCTTGCCTTGTAGCAATAAAGTACAACATGTGGTACTGTGTGACTGATCTATGCTGACTTGAACCTGGTTAATTCTGATATTTGGTTTGTTTTCTTTCTGTCTAGTGTACTCTTCGAGGACCAAGACAGCTACCTTTGTAATGTCACCTTGTTCAGGAAGGCAGTGGATGACTTCAAGCACAAAGCCAGAGAATATAAGTAAGGTTTATTTTGTGTGCATTCTGTCTCATGCTCTGAAGGATCTCTAGGCAGGCACTTGATTTTATTCACTTCCAAATGCAGATTTATGGTCCGTGACTTCCAGTACAATGAAGAAGAGATGAAAGCTGATAAAGAAGAAATGAATAGACTGTCAACTGACAAGAAGAAACAGTTTGTAAGTCTTAATAAACTGGTCATTACAGAAATGTGAGACATCTAAGACTTGTTATTGCTACATAAAAATTTCATGAAGTTGTGATTCAGAGAAAGCATTGTAAGGATGACATGATGTAGCCATCCTGTCACCCAGCTAATCTACTCTGGGATAATTGAATTTCCTACAGCACAAATGCTCCTCGCTGCATTGAACTAAGGGCTGGTATTGCAGCTGATAATGTTTGAAGTTTGAAAATGGACAAGTGTTTGAATTACATAATCAGGTATTACTAAAAGGATCTTTAATATAGTTAGATCATGACAACTGAGATGGGGACTTGAAGGGACAATGGGAAGTCTCATTAAATATCTCTTTACTTTGTATCAAAACACTCTTAAACCATTATGTCTATAGTGAACTCTGTCTTTTAACTTGTCTTTTATTATCATGATACAGATATTGAGTAGCTGTTCAAACATGCATAATCGGCTGAGTCTTTTTCTGATGTTTGAATAGCTTTTTTTTCTCCCTCTTTTCTTTCACAGGGGCCTCTGGTTCGGTGGCTGAAAGTTAATTTCAGTGAAGCTTTCATCGCATGGATTCATGTGAAAGCATTACGTGTTTTTGTTGAATCTGTTTTAAGGTAATGAGGCAGATTTGAATAGTGATTTTCTTTCTAGACTTGATAAGAATTTACATCTAGTTTGTGTTTACCAAACTGAAGCATGTGAATTCTACTCTTCTTGGAAGTAGGAAGCAAAAAGTAGGGTAGTTGAATAGCTGGTGGCAATAGCTCTTGTTGCCAGTTGTGAAATATTTGAGGAAGATAATTGTGTATTTCCCCTTGGATAGTCTTTTCACTATTGCTTTAGGAGTTACAGATACTGGGTAGGTAGCAGGGAGACATATTTGCTGATTTTTAGGTTACTTTATGAGCTGCTTGTAACAACAACTACATCTTATATTTAAATGGCAAATTTGAATTGTTCAGAATAAAAACTATTTGGGCTTTCTTTAACATAGTTTGGCATCATGAAATCTATACTTTTTCTTCAATACTTGCCTTTTTACTCTAAATTTTTCAGTATTAAACCACTCAATATTCTAACTAGAAAAATCATCTGCCTTTTTTTGTTCATACTATCCACAAGTGTTGTTACTAGTCAAAAACAGCTGTAGTTGATCTGCAAAAAAATACCTTAATTTCTTGTAGTTGAATACGTACCTACTTTGGTCAGTAAAGGGCAAAGTGTCTTTAGCCTTTTTCTCCAGTTGTCATAATGGAGAAAAGCAGAGGAGAAAAAGAAAACAAATCACATGAACTTGCATTCTTGCTGCTATGGCCTTGTTGTGAAGACAAAACTTGAGTAAAGAAGAAAGCTGAACCTGACTGGAATGTTGGCAGCTGTTTCCACACTCCTAGAAAGGAGGATTAAGTTCATTGTTCACCAAGTGTCATAAGCAAAGTAAACTAATGAAATGTTCAAAATGTTGTCTGTATTCAGGTAACATTGAGAATTATGCTAAATACTCAAGATTTAAAATTATTTAAAAAATATTTAGGCTTCTCTTTTGTTATTTTAAACTTGAAAGTTCTACTTTTTTGATGCCTTATGAATTGTGGACAAATAATGGTTTTGCAAAAATGGAAGTTAGCAGAATTTCCTCTTCAGCAATAGGATTCTTTCTCAAAATAAAATTCTGCTTTGAATTATGAAAGAAGGTTTATTTCAGCATTTTCATGGTTTTCTACTTGACTTCCTCAGGTATGGTTTGCCAGTTAACTTCCAGGCAATGCTGCTTCAGCCTAATAAGAAAACAATGAAGAAACTGAGGGAAGTTCTGTATGACTTATACAAACATCTTGACAGCAGTGCAGCAGCTATCATTGATGTAAGTACTTTTTAACTGCTACTAGTATGTTTAAACAAGGTCTGTTGGCATAATTAAAAAGCTATATTTCTCCATATTCATTTTCTCACAGTACAGAGAATTTTGTCTCCTTAAAAAAATGCTGCTTCTGTTTTACACTTTTGCAAGGCAGATGGTATTTAAAGTTGCAACCAATATATTTGAAGAGCTGTCTAGTTTAAAAGTCACATGTAATTTCTTGTTTCTGCATTTTTTCCTACTACTGATGGAAAGATAGACTGCAAGTTAGCATAGTAGTCCTCTCTTGAAGAAGGCTGAATCATTGTCAAATTGGAGTCAGCCTTTTCATCTGTAGAGGTCTCATTTTCATGTGTAAAATCTGGTTTATTGGTAGGCTTATTCTACTAATTTGTTTTGTATTGAAAAGCAGTCATGTTCATAGTTAAAGGTTAACTGAAGATACCATGAGTTTAGCTGAATTAGAAAAGATTCTTAATGTTATATTGAATGTAATGTATTTCCAGGCCTTTTTGTGGAAAGAGGATGTGAGACAATTTAGGTGAAAATTAAAGATGCTGAACTTCTGTAGCGTCCTGGATCATTCAGCACCCTATAACATTCTCATCAGAAACTGACAGTGTTTAGATGTAGTAGTCATGATGTGGTTACTATAGCAATGGATGTGAAATACTGATACAGAACTACTTAGTTTTTGAAAAAGCACTTCGTATTTACTTTTGAAAAATGCATGAATCCTTTGTCAAAGTTCTAACTTTACCTGTTATTTAAACAGTCACTTGAATGTGAAAATTAAAGCTTGAAGTCTTACCTGGCCTATTTGCTTCTAACACATATGGATATTTCATCTACTTCTTAATAGGAGTCTGAATTGTAAGAGTATAACTGGTTTCCAAACTTTATTTGCAGGCAACTATGGATATTCCAGGTTTAAACCTCAGCCAGCAGGAGTACTACCCATATGTGTACTACAAGATTGATTGTAATTTGCTGGAATTCAAGTAAAAGTTCCCTAACATGACAATCTTCTCAGTGTTGGTGTAAACAAGCAGAAGTGAGGTTGAAGTATAGTAATACTTTTAACATTCTAATCATATGCTTGCTTCTTATGTTAGGTGAATTGAACACACCGTGGTCCATCTCTAGACATTTTCTTTTTAAAGAGCAGTGTAGGTAACCAGCTTTTAATCAACTATGTCTGTAAATGTATATTGAGAGAATTGAAGTATTTATAAACAGAGTGATTTATTTAAGGAAAAGCTTATCCCTCTTTCCTAAGGTGGTCTGTGTTAATTCCATTTACTGTTGTTTATAAAAAAACTTGTTTACAGAAGACTAGTGTAAATGTTAATGGCCATTTTGTTCATTTGATTTAGTAGATACAACTGTGTTAACGTTGTTGAACTGTGATGTAAAGTATGTAAAATTGGTATGAAATCGTGCTTTCTGAATGGTTTAAAATTACAATTGATGCACTGTAAACACAGGGAAAATAAACATACCTGTGCAAATGTGTCACTTTCTTGTACCACATAAAATTGCAGATACTCGTGTCTATCTTTAATAGTGCTGCATCCTGCACACACTGGTACAGAAATGCAATTGGCTTCAGCACAAGTAGTTTTAAGAGATGCAGGAACTGATTTTGCTTTTTGCAGAAACTCTCAAGTATGTTGTTTGGCCACCACACATATGTATGAATGTTTTTCATATTTATATCTTTGTGACTCTAAGGAAAATATATGAGACAATTACTGGGAAGATGATGGCAAACTGGGATAATAACAAGCTAGGCTGAGCTGGGATTTTAATAATTCTTCTTTCTTTTCAGTCAGTTGAAGCTTGAGACTATTTTGTGGCTTTGAATACTGTACTATTAGATGCTCATTTTTTTTTTTTTTGCAAAGTCTGTTCTACCACACAGGGAATATGATGGCTTCCTTCTAATGTGGGTAGAGAGGAGCTGTTTATTTTGGTAGCAGCTATTACAAGTATTCTACCTGTCTGAGTAGCTAAATATGAAGTAAAAGCTGCAGTATTGTTTAAAACTGACTTGAATCAAGAGTGAGACTGGAGGAGTTCTGATTTATCAAAATTAATATCTGAAGTACTGTAACCACTGTATTCTTTTCTCTCCCTAACTGAAAATACCAGAGCTCCAAGCACTATAGAGCTTTCAGCTGTGGGATTTCTAATCATAACCCAGCAGGACCTTAGAGGAATTGGCTAACTTTGTAAACCTACATTGTTATCTGTAATTATGAGAGAGTTTGACATCTATGAAAATATTTGCTGTGTAAATTTAGATTTGCTTTTCTTCCTATTTTTATAGCCAAAAAGGGAAATAGTGAGATAGGTGTCCTGTTGTGGTCACATTTCTGCTTTTTCCACTTCTTGTTTCTTTACAGAAGATAACAGCTGTTTGCTGTGTTGTCCAGGTTGTTAAAAGTGTACCCAAGTGGAAGAGGTTTTCCCTTTTATCACCCAGCTCTGCCTCTTACACTGGCTTTTGTTACTGCTTCTCACAAAGGTTGTCATCTTGGCTCTGAGCCCACTGTAACACATACACTGCTTAAAGGTAAAGAGGGTTTTTTGTCCTGCCTCTCTAATCACAGGAGGAATCAGGCTGAACTATTGTCTTTGTCCTTCACCTTAGTTCTCTTTTGATTTTGTTTTCAAAGCTGTTCTGCAAACAAGTGCAGGTAAGGGCTTAGGTTTCCAGTAAGTGCTGTATGAAATGCTTTGCTGTGTATTTCACCCTCTTCAAGATACTGGTCCCTGCTCAATCAGCCTTAGATCCTTCTGGAATGAATGGAAGCAAAGGGCAGGTGGACAACAGAATGACAGCACCATCCAAGGTGAGGGAAGCAGTCAATATGCTGAAAGACAGAGAGATGTGGAAATGCTGGAGAAATGGGCTGACAGGCCCTGCATGGACTGCAGCAAAGAGAATTGCCAAGTCCAGTGGTGGGAGATGAATAACTCTTCTGCCCCAGTCTGGGCTGGGCATGGACTAGCCAGAAAGCGACACTGCAGAGAAGGAGCTGGGATTGCTCATGGGAAGCTAGTTGTGCTTGTGGCCAGCCATCTCCTGGAATGGCTGCTAGCAGGTGGGTAGCCATCCTTCCCCAGTACTTGGCACGTGTAAAGTCATGTCTGGGCTCTATAATGCAAGAAAATGGAGTACCACAATGGAGAAAGTCCAGTGGAAGCTAGCCAAGCTTGTAAGGAAGGTGGAACATGTGATACTGACTGGGAGAATCATGTTTCTCCATGTTGGAGAAGAGATGGGAAAAGCAAAGAGCAGATTTTAGTGATATTTCCAACTGCCTGAACAGAGGATACACAGAAGATGGAGCCTTCTGATATGCCTGAGCACTTCTCAGAGGTACATGGCAATAAGGAGAGGCAAAGGATGCAAGCTTGAATGTGGGAAATGCTCGTTGGAGGCTGTGGTGGGTTGACCTTAGCTGATGGCCAGTTACCCACCAGCTGCTCTCTCACTACTCCTACTTGATGGGACAGGGGAGAAAACAGGGTGCTAAAGCTCCTGAGTTGAGATAAAGAGGTAGAGATTGCTTACCAGTTACTGTCACAGACAAAACAGGCTAGGCTTGGGTAAGATGGGAGAGTTGGAGTTGCAGAAGTTTATTGCCAGTTCAAGAAGATTTGGTTTGTGAGAAGCAGATAGAAAGTGAAATACCTTATCCCATTTTTTTTTCCTGAGGCTCAGCTTAACTCCTTCACTTTTAACCTCTGTCCTTCTGTCCAGCAGCTTAGAGGGATGAAGAATAGAGGTTATGATCATATGTTCATAATAATTCCTCTCTGCTTTAGCTTCTCCCCAACATGTTTCCCCTGCTCCAGCTTGGCTTCTTCCACAGGTTGTCATCCATCAGAGTAAGTCTAGTCTAGCATCGATCCTCTGTGTGTCACATTTCCTTCAGGGCTTGTCCCCCTGGTCTGATTTGGGTCCTCCAGAGGCTGCAGTGTGGAAAGTGCTCTGGTACAGACCTCTAATTAGGCTGCAGGACAATTCCTGCTCCACTGTGGTCCCCTCTGTGGGCTATAGGGAAATAAATAACCTGCAGTGCATTTCCTTTCAGTGATGTATCTGGTCTGACATTACCTGTGGCTGAGTAGACTCAAAATTGCTGTTTAAAATAAGGGAAAATTGCACAGTATTAAATATTAGTAACCAGCCTGGGATAACTGATGTCTGTATATCGTTGGGCCTTTCTAGTGATGAAGAGAGATACTTTGGATACAGGAGCTGAGAGTCAGATTAGTTAGTCAGATTTTATTTATAGGGAAAAGCTAGAACTAAACCCAAATAATTTTACAATTTATTGTATTTCTGTTCTTCAAAGATTTCTGGCAACTGAAACAAAGTTAAAACTGTGTAGAAATGGAAATTTTTAATTTTGTTTCCAAGAAGCATGGCAAGTCATTAGGTCAGAGAGTAATTTGTGGAAGAAATGAAAAACATAGTATACTCTGTAATGTGAGGAGTATGTGAGTGTTATTTTTCTTATAATTAAGTAACAACAGATGATTTATGTCTTAATAGGCAAAGTAGACATAACTGGATTGTTGCAATTTACATGTCTGTAATCAAAGTCTGAGTAGGGGAGATAGCTGCTGCGCAGCTGAAGTATCTAAAATAGCAGTACACTAGTCTTTTAGTAAAATTAACATAGATCTTGAAATGCTGATGAATGCCATTTGAAAGCTCAGAAATAACACTTAATAATGAAACTGTGACAAAGCAATACCTGCAGTGATCACCAGGACCACCAGGACTGGGAAGAAGAATGTGCAGAGAACTGGGGAGAGGCAGTAGGAATGTGGTAGCCAGGAGCTTGTAGGAGGGGCAGTTAAGCAGACTTAGTAACTCCTTATTGAACAGGAAGGGATGTGGGGGAGCAGCACAGTAGCTGAGGTCAGAGCAGGAGAGGATTTCAGTGAACTCTAAGGAAAATGAAACATGACAAATTTGTTGGAAGAAAACAAGCATCACTCTGTCTTGAAGAAGGGCAAGAAGATCTGGAAGATGATCTGGGGAGCTGCTGACCCAGATCTACTGATGAGGTCTGGGCAGCCTGACCTCGATCTCTGGGAAGGATGAAGGAGCAAACTATGCCAAAGACAGGAAGGTGATTAAGGGTAGTCAGCCTGGATTTGTGCCTTACTGACCTGATGGACTTCTGCAATGAGATGATTGGATCAGTGGATGAGAGCAGAGCAGTAGATGTGTATCTTGGCCCTTGATGCTGTCTCCTGTAGCATCATGGCAATCTGATGGAGTACACTGGAGTAGGTTAAATGCATGGTGAAGGTGTACTGAAAAGTAGGTGAATTTGTGGGGCCAAAGGTTTGTAATCAGTGACACAAAATCCATGCAGAAGCCACTAGCTACTTCTGGTAAATCCCAGGGTTCAATACTGGGGCCAGTATTTTTATACATTTTTATTAGTGACCTGGATGATGGGTCAGTGCACCTTCATCAGGCTTGCTGGTGACACAAAACTGGGAGGCTCATATGCCAAATGGTCCATGTTCAGAGGCACTCAATATACTGCAGAACATTGGAACTTTATGAAGTTCAGCAGCGGGAAATGTCAAGTCCCACATCTGGAAAGAATACCAGATTGCCACATACCAGTACACACTGGTAGCCAACTGGCTGGGAAGCATTTTTGCAGCAAAAAGACCCAGGGCTCCATTTGGAAAAGCTGAGCATGAGGCAGCAATGTGCACTTGCAGTGGAGAAGGCCAAAGCACACCTGAGGAAGAGCACTGCCAATGGGTTGAGGAAGGTGGTTAGTCCCTTCACCTCAGCACTAAGGAGATGCACCACAGCTTGGCAGTGAAGACCATCATCTAGTCCTCCCTCCTCATGCAAGGTCAGGAAGAACAGATTGCTCAGTACTGTGTCCAGTAAAAGGCTGAAAATCTTCAAGACTGGATACTCCACAACCCTCTCAGTGCAATCTTCCTTGGTGTTCAAACATCCAGGTAGTAAAACTGTTCTGTTTAGACAGGATAAGATGTGTCTCTGGGCACCACTGAGAAGTCAGGCTCACTCTTTACACCCTCCCATCAGTATGCATAAACATTGATAGGGTGCTCTTGAGACTAATTATTTTCTTGAGCAGAGGGTACTGGAGTCCTCTGCAGTGTTCAAGCACTTGTTTTCGGGGGCTATTTTTGTTGTAAGGAATATAGCTCTTGGATATAGCAATGCACAGTGACCAGCTGATGTGGGATCTTTGTTTTGGTTTCTTTTTAATATATAAGAGTCTGAAATGCTTAGCATTTAAACCTCTATATTAATTCAGTTTTCATAAAGATGTTGATGATTTTGAAACCTTTCTGAAAGATAGATGTATCTATGATCTGCTGAACTATTAGCTATAGTTCAGGCAGTGACTGGTTTCTGAAAAGTAGAAAGTAACTTCTTCCCAGATATCTTTATACTTTAATTGTGGTTTTCTAGCAGAATTCCCACTGCAGAA